GTCTAGATACGTTTTGGATTTCACAGCTAATTAGATGTAACACTTGAGGAGCAAATTTCTAATAATATTAATAACGTGGCGAACTTGGCTCGTCTTTGAAACCACTTTGAAGTATAATGAAGCAAAGTATTCGTGTGTTTAGCACCATTTATTTTTAACGAAATTCTAGCATGGCAAAAATGTATCTGCTCATTAATTTAAAATATTTCCAATCCACAACCTGAGATAGGATGATTTGCATTCAAGTTACATTTAAAAACATAACTTGTTGGGCTTCACGCGATCCTTTAAAATTACCGTCGATAGCCTGTTTCATTGATCATCCACCAGTGAGTTCATATTATCAGGAGTCAGGACAAACAAATTAGATGCAATGGTTGATCCGGGAACTACTTAAACCCCCAGAAAGTACATGAATGCTAAACTTTGCAGGGTCTAAATTATATAAGCTTATTATTATTAGCACCACAAATGGATTGAGATGAGTTGTTAAATAAGCGTGCTCGACTACAATTAGTCACGCATTAAACTCGATACCTAGGAGACTGAGGAACAGTTGTCATGACAACAGTGGGACTATACGACGGAATACTTGGAATGTCGTAATCAGTCGTGTGTCTGTCTCGCGTAAAGTACCTCCAATAAGGTTCAAACAAATATAACCTGTAGTCGCGTGATAGAAACCATGTCATCAGATTGGCCAAGAATGATAGAAACGTTCCCTCACTGGCTGCCAGCTCTTGGAACATCGTGTCCCATATTAAGGTGGTTGTATTTGTCTGATCCACAGTCATTAACGTCAGTGTTAACGACTTAAAGCTGAAGGACTCTCTCTCTCTCTCTCTCTCTCTCCCTCCCTAGGGCACATCCTGGATGCCTGGACTTCCTGGAACTGTAGTCCCCACTCTTCTCACTCTCCCAGCTCTTTACTCTGTCTTCTCACCAGTAACTATAATTACTATATATCACAGTTCATTTTGTAACGGAGTTTTATATTAACAGGAAACGATGTAACAGAGTCGATATATTTTAATGTTGCCATGGGGTGGCAAGTCCCCATACATCGTGGTCCGGTAGTTTTGCATTACGTCCTAATATATAACTAATAACTATATATCTCAATAGAGCTGAACTCTTCTCTCAAGATGGTACAGTGCGGCCTCAAAGTGCACTTTATTTGTCAACTTTAACACAGCCGGTACTCCCCGTGTCACAGTGTCAGTGCCCCTTGTTTTACCGGTAACCACGTGGCCAGAATAGAGCTGTCTGATTGGTGGGGAGCAGTGAGACCGTGGTCTGATTGGCTGGTGCCAGATATCTAGCAGTGACAGTGGGGACACTAATGAAGGGGCTCGTTACCTCGTTTACTCGTTAGTGGGTCCGGGCCTGTCCTATTAGCTCTTTAATTTAGGGAGAGTGCGTCAAAGTGTCTGAAACCTTGTAACAATATCTCGTACTATTAGCTACTGTTCCTGGGTGGGTAACTAGAAGAGATTAGATCTCTTTAGAGGGAGAGGCCTGGAAACCGGGATATTGAAATAGGAGTCTTTGGTTGAAATAACACTACGTATAACGGTAAAAAGTGCAACAACTTGGTCATTGAATCGTGGTATTTGGCGTGAGATAACCCCTTTATAAACCTACATGGTGTTACTGTTTATAGGTTTAGAGGTTTGGTATTTATTGAGGTTTGGTATTGAGGGGAATCAGGAAATAGAACCTAACTATGTTTATACAGCTATCTTTATATAACAGCAGTTTTTATTTAGCATTAGTCAACGCTGCTATACTTTGTAGCCTTGACAGTGTCATATATCGACCGTTTGTGGTTTGATCTCAATTTAAGTAAGATAATATCGAGAATTTTGGAAACTATTAAATACTTCAATTTGTTGAGTTTATGAATTATGGATCGAGCAGATACACCTATGATAGCCAACGGTATCAATACTCAATTACTTAATTTGCTCGGTGGATCATATAAAGGAACAAATGACCATGCATACTAGTCACCCTCAAATTGTTTGAAGGGAGTGGCCCTGTGGTATGCTAAACTGTATCAAAGTAGCCGTTTTAGCGTTCAGCGTTATCAAATTCCACTGCACATCAAATCAACTAATTATAGGCGTGGTAGGCCCTACTGTTCACTTGATTCGCAATTTAACACGATCAGTTTATACCAATAAACTTAATTGGCGGATCTTTCTAAAAGTACGCTTTGAGTTTGACAGGGTAGCCGGCCCTGCCCAATCCCCATTACATGCTCAGTGCTCACAGCAAGTTTATCCTCATGAGAAAACTGAACCAACTGCCCGCATACGCTCCAAAGTAGAACCAATTAATTTTTCGAATGGTCATGTTTAGCTCGAAAGAGTTAATAAAGATGGGTACAGACCGACAAAGCGTCCTCACAACCTGACTCAGAGCTCTTTAGAGGGTGAACCTTTTATAACATCATCACGTGACTAACTCAGCGTTTCTATTGGCTCGTGTGTCGAACTAAGTGTTCTGATTGGATGTTGGGTGAAATGCCGTGGTGTGATCGAGCAATGAATACCATCAAGTAAGTTAAAATTGTTTACGTAGCTAAAATGGGTTTAATGGTACCGACCGGATGGAATATTTCAAGCAATTTGGTGGTAAAACACAAAACATCGAAATCGCTCCAGAATGTCTTTAAAATGGATGGATATTGTAATTTTCATGCAGTGACATTTTACAGCCTACCGTTAGGAATTATTAAAAAAATAAGTTATAATGTTGAGAAACAAAATTAGGCACTTATTATACAGGGGTGGATGGGTCAAATTTCTGACTTCGGTTGTGTCAGAATTCGGTTGAGATGAAATGCGAATACCGAACATATCTTTTACACTTTCTTAATGTAGTCAACTCGATAGTGATCGATAAGATCATCCACCCGCGATAACTCCACAATCAACAATGATAAAATTCCTTTCCTAGTTTAATGTAAACGGCAGACATTCTATTAAAGAAACATCAGGGATAAAGCTATCCTCATACCAAAGTGTTAAAGGAAGCCTTCGGTGATATGACCAGCCCGTTTCAGAATGTCATTCCCGATTTTATTTAAACTGCATTTTGTTTTTAGTTTCTCTGGGAAAGTTTAAAGTTTGAGCTTTAAATACCAAATATGGAAGTAACGTAGATTATATAGAATGTAGACAGTAATCATCATGTAACACCTGATGTTGATTTATCAATCTGGCGCTGAATCCCGTGGGAGAATCAAGCTTTGCTAAGGCAGGTCTCACACGAGTTGCAACTCACTAGGTCTGTGAGTCAGATTACACGATGCCTTGCTTGCAGTGAAGAGCTAGATGTTGGAATGTTTGCTTAACGCCGGAATGTTCCCACGAGAGCTAAGCATCCGAGCTATGCGAGTGTGACCAATGACCAGGCTGTCAGCGCTGTCGGAGAGGATATTCCCAGAGAACCAACAAGCACTGCTCCCTCCTGATTGGTGGCTTGTTGTGGAGATCGCTGGCCTGATAGGCTGTTTACTACCACGTGTCCAAGCAAACAAGGATGTAATACAGTTGGAACTGTTCCAATTGAGCATGCACTTAATGTTTACAAAGCGTGCTGATTAAAGTAGCAGTTATCAAAATGATTGTTATTATTTTGGAAGTGGAAGTAAAGCTCAGTCAGAATTTGGATACGTCACATGGTAGGAAGAAGTGGAGGAGGAGGGAGAAGAGAAAAATAGGTGGAGGAGAAGGAGAAGGAGAAGGAGAAGGAGAAGGAGAAGGAGAAGGAGAAGGAGAAGGAGAAGGAGAAGGAGAAGGAGAAGGAGAAGGAGAAGGAGAAGGAGAAGGAGAAGGAGAAGGAGAAGGAGAAGGAGAAGGAGAAGGAGAAGGAGAAGGAGAAGGAGAAGGAGAAGGAGAAGGAGAAGGAGAAGGAGAAGGAGAAGGAGAAGGAGAAGGAGAAGGAGAAGGAGAAGGAGAAGGAGAAGGAGTGGAAGGAAGGAAGGAGGAGGAACTTAAGTTTAAACATTTGTGCGTGATTTATTAAAATAAATTCCCAGGCCCCTTCGATGATCTGTTGGCTTGTAGTAAGGTCACTAAGAGTAAGGAAACCCATTAAATCATCTTTATTATCATATTCATAGCTAGCTCCGGACTTAAAGTTAAAGCTAATGGGCATATTGATATAGGTCTCGTCATTGGTCATAACATTTATCACCAATTTCTGGGAGCAAGGCACGCAAATCGTAAAAAACCAATGTTTGTTCGCAATCGCTTTCTTTCCCACGAGCCTATATTTATTATTCGATCTCTGATGGATTAGGAATGCCGGTTACAGATGTCAAAGAACTGCAGAGGAAAGTGTGTCGGGTCTGCAAATCCCAACAATTAACCACAGTGCACAGGTCAGACGAGTTCATTTTTGTCGTTTACCAGACAATACCTCTACAAACCAAGACTAATGTGCGAACTGGCCTGGACTTCATGTTCGGGTTCCAGCTTCACTTGTACGATTTCAGAAGCCATGTGACAGCTATAGACGGACCAGGTCGTGCCTCATTATCAGATATCTGTGTATTTAACAACTTAATCGCACTTCAATACTAACAATTTCTAACCAGTAACCACCCTACTTTTGTCGCGACTAATAGAGATAACATTACATCCAGTCTGTGCGGTGTTTTGGGTCTAGACTCCAGACTTGAGAGGTTGGGAGACTTTACATTTTACCAAAATAGACTAGGGCGTGGTGCTGTCTCCAGATATTATCCGTCTAACTTTTACTGGGGATACAACCCGGAAACCTGATCTTTAAGATGGTGTCCTAGCGATCTAGTAGCTTGATTATCTGCTTATCTGATGCTGCAGGTGGGCCGTGGGGTGCAAGGAAAACTCATTAGACTGATGTAAGGTAGAAGCCGGAGGATCATTCAAACCTCGGAGATACTTGGTAAAGCTTTAAGTTTATCTTTAGAATTATTATCGGGGCGATGAAGAAGTAATACGATAACATCAGGGTTTTGTAATAAGAAGAATCAGGCTTGTATAAAACTACAGCCGTTAATCAACAATAAACAATTTAAATCAGTTGTGTAAAACCACAAATTATCTATGCATCCTTAAAATCACACTGCCAGAAATTCAAATAGCTTCGATCATCACCAGTTTAGTTCAGTTCCCGTGAAAACAGTATCGTCCGATTTTAAAGACACAAAACATCAATTACAAAATATTCATTCCATCTTAACTCTTTATATGATTAATAATAGTTATAGTAATAATTTACACATCACATGGGCGTTATCAGCCAAAGTTTCAGTCTTTATATTTATCCCCTTTCCAACAAAATCTCATCAATTTGTTCAGTCCTCGTCTCCGAGTTCAGTACGGATACCTTCCTCACGATTCCCAGCATCTCTTCATCAAGCTGCCTATCTAGCCTCAATATCTCAAATTTCCCGCAACAGGATCAGAAGTTTGTGCTCACCAAGGTCTCCAGACCTTCATGCTGTCCCCCAGTGCGGTGGGTTGGGGTCGTCGCGCGATAGAGGGGAGCGCGGAGAGGAGGTTAGTTCTGTTGATCATCTCCGTCAGGAGGTGGGTCTTGTCTGCTAGTTTAGGAGGAGAGTTGGGGGCAGAGAGGTGTTGTCTCTCAGAAAGGTGATGTCGCTCAGAAAGGTGGTGTCTCTCCACTGGGGAGCTGGGTGGAGAAGGGTACGTGGGAACAGGTTGCGCGTACTGAGCTGGTGTGCTGAAAAAATATTTTCTGTTAGTTTGATGTTGAGTGTTTTTAGGAAAATATCATAATAAAACGCAAATGTACAAATATAAACATCAAACTAAAATGTATACTTACAAGGCGAAGTGAGGGAGGTGGGAGGATCTGACGGGTTCAGGGACGATAAGAGGAACAGAGCTAGGTCTGGTCATGTGATGTGATGACGTCACTAGGGGTGGGCTCCTGGCAACAGGGGACATTCGGTTTGATAGAACTGAAAGAGACTTTGGTTAGAGAACTTGAAATAGTTAGATAAGTTGATAGTTCTTTAAGAAATGTAACTTTATGAAGAAAAAAACAGAACTCCTGTTCATCCTAGACTACACTAAGACTAAATAACCGCTCCGCAACAAACCTGCAGGTGAAGAAGAGAGTGCGGGGCTGGGTGTGCGGGTTGTAAGATGTTCCACAAGTTTGTGGGTCACATTCTCGTCCACTTGAGAGGAAAGAAGGAGTTTAGTGACTTCGTTCATGCACTGCTGGTATCCTTGCTTGAATTGCACGTGTGGGTCTATATACGGGCTCACTGAAATAAAGATGGGTTAGTTGATTGTTACTGTTTACTGTTAGTTTATTGCAACTGATTACTGTTACTGTTTAGTGTAAGTACTGATTAATGTTTGTTTACTGTTATTGTTTACTGTTAGTTTATTGTTCAGACATCACTTAATGGATTACGATTTTAGCACTTTACTACAACTTTACGGTCTGATCAATTGTTATATGTTAAAAGAGAGATTCCACAGGAAATTCTTGTGATCAGTACATTTTACAAAGTAGCTCTGAGAATTTTACATTATCACTCCCGTGATACAATTGTCATGGTTACGTAAAATTTAAAGCTATTATTGTAAGTGAGCGACGAATTAAGCTATTCAGAACATTGAGTTAGCGAACACCAGCTTCTCACAGAAAAATCACGCCATAAAAATTACTGTTCAAAATTTAGGAAATAATCGGAGCGATCCTGCCACCACCAACTACAACACAGATGTTTTCACCCCTGTTCAGGGTTGAACCTAAAAGAAGACACGACGTCATGTCACATGACAGGGAATGATTAGCGAAGCGGAACGTAGTTTCCCAAGCCGACCTCTCCAGTAGCCGGTGAGTCTGACTGAGGAGGTTGGAGCAGGGGTGGGCGGCTGGGAGCTATGGATTGGTAACACTAACGTTGCATGTCATCGTGTGACGGTTAGCACCACTCCATTGTGCGGTACTGGGGAACAAATTCCAAGTTGAAGAGTTTAAAATGAGCGCTGTGATTGGTTGATAGGTGGGATTCAGTGCTTCTGATTGGAGGGTTTTAAGCCTACGTGGGACAACTATTTCCATCCACTCTGCACAGTTGGTGGTGACGAGCCGAGAGTTTGGATAATGGCAAGCAACCTTGCTTTGAAGAGAGGTCCTCTTACTATTACTGGTGAATAAAATGGCGCTCTTCTCGACTTCTCCGGCTGATTGTTTACTTACGTGGAGTCAATAATTAAATACCATTTCACTAACTACCCTTTCCACTGCTTTTAACATGTACGGTTTGATCGGGGACGCTATATTCAACAATAAAGTCCATTATCAAGTGATTATGGGGTATTTAGAACTAATTTGAAATATCCAAGGTACCAAGCAGGATCTCCATTATTGTATTAAATTTGACGTGAGGAGCTGGAAATTCTGGGGGTGACAAATTGTTCTGAAATAATCTCCGCAGAAAATGATACTGTACTGTTAAAACACCTAATAATAGAGATCCAATCACTCTGATTATCAAAACAATCACGGGGAAGAATGTGCCATTTCATCCTTAAAAGACGAATGTTTTGGATGCCATGGAAACCTAATTTCAGGTACTAAAACTGCAAAGCAAGGCTTGATCCGATCATTATTCAAACAGGCATGAAGGCTCGCTATTGGTTCCGATAGATTTTATAATTACCTCACTAAATTTGATAGCTGGGGATGATTTCAGCAAATCTATATTTCCCACGGGAGAGTATCAGTTTAAACTGTTCTAATTTTCTGCGTATCACTGCGTGTTTTCCTTTATTCGATCATTGCTATTTTCTTGTCTACTATTACTTAACAGCCAGTCTACACCCCTTAAATCCAGGTGTCTCCATTGTGGAGATGAGAGCATTTACACCTTACGAAATTTTATCTAGCAGAATACAATTACCATTGATCAATGAAAATATCGGATCAAGAAGAAAGTAAAGATGGAATATGAACGATGGAATTTGGAGAATTTTCTTACCGTGCGGTGAGAGGTTGGAGGTGAGGTTTCGTCTCTTGTTTTTCATCCTGGTAAGGTGCTCTACAGTCATCTCCAGAACATCAGCCTTGTCCACTCTGGTTCCGGACTCAGTAAGATCTGGCACCAGAACCTTTAGCTCCTCCAAACACTTGTTAATACGAGCTCGTCTTCTCTTCTCCATTATAGGCTTCGGGATCTTGCCAGCCTGTAAAGGTAGTGGGTTACAATTGTGGCAAATTGTGGATTTGGAGAGGAGCCAGCTTTAATTTGACATATTGTACGGTTATTGAAGTGAGTGTGTTTGTAGAGAGTAGAGACTTTGATCCTAGGAGACGGTTGGGATGGAATTTGAGGCTAATATTTCAATTTGACGGGTGAACAAGTCTTGTGATGGAATTTGGGGCTGATATTTCAATTTGACGGGTGAACACCCTAGTCCAAATCGCATTATTTCATGTCAAAGTCTTGGAGATAATTAAAATTAGTCACAGTATAACATTTGCAGAGGACAGGCCTGGACAAATCACATTTCCAGAGCACATGAGACCATGCTGGCAAGATTGAATCCTCCTAAACCACACACAACCCCCTGCTGCATGCTTTCACACGATAAAAAACTTTTCCCATGGCTCGATTTTCTCATTAAATAAGGGCGACAACTCATGGACCAGTGACCTAATGGGAAGGTATCGAGAGAACCAATAAGAGGGCCAGCAGGAGCCTGGGTGCCAATGAGAGAGTGAGCCTGCTCCTCATTGTAGATAACACAGGTACTCGTAAAAATAACTCCAGTAATAAGATTTGGTGAGGAGGAATAACATTAGGTTCCGAGCTTGGGAGCCTGGGCAAGATACGGCATGCTAGATAACGAGGCTATAGGAGCTCTAACACGTCTTAACTTGCTCAGATAGTCATCACACACTATTACTATTAAAACTAGTTATAACAGGTAATAGGGACAGCTTCATAAGATGACACATTATTACACTGCAGTCATCACATACATAGCATGTTTCCAATGAACATATTACGGTGGGCGCAGAGGGTGCGCGATAAGGAGACAATATGGCTTCATTAGATTATGTGTCGTGGGAAAATTCCTGCTCGCAGCGAGGGGAGAAGCTTCAATTTACGGCCGGTCTTAGAGGAGACGTAAATAGGGAGTCATTGGAAACTAGGCTGTTTTACATGACTGGGATATAATTTGAATTTTCTGTGGAATAAAACCTCCCAAAACCTACAATCCTGTCAACAGCTCCTCAAATGAACTGCTCGTTTTCAACAGCTTTACGATTACAGGTGGTTTTATTCGGTGTGTGCTGAATGAATGCCAATGCTGTAATTATATGTACCGCAAATGTCCAGCGATCGTAAAAATAAAATGTCACAAACTTTTATAATGCAAATCTGCATACTGATAGAACAATAATATTGTTTAAGAAAAGAGTTAAAGTTAAGAATATATTGGCGTATTTTAAATAGATTCGAAAATAAAGACTGATTTTACTTACTCGGCTAGGCTGTTGAAGAGAGTAAGGGGTTGGAGTTGTTGGTTCATTCTTGGTTGACATCGTGATATCGTATTCGGTCGACATTTTGTTGTGTTGAAACTAAAATAACAAATTGTCGTTAGAAATCGGAACAAATAATCTGGTCAGATTCGAAAATAATTTCTTGGTGTTCGACTAAACGAGACCATATGAATAATAGAGTGTTCTGTGTTCAATCAAAAAGTATAACGTTATTACTAATTTTTGCAGCTGCAAATATCATAGTAAAGAAAGGACAAGATTTTAACAAAATAGAACATCAAATACTCAACACCTCTAACACCTAGCACAAAATACAAGGGCAAGACCGCTAAAATAAACATTTGATAACAAACTATTCGCTGAGATAACCGCGAATACCACACGGATATTTTATCATCACGAAGTCAAGTACCACGACCGACGACCAACTGCACACCTGCCACGGACACAACGGAGCTCAGACAAGGGTGATAATATCCCAGCGGGACAAAGACATCAAACACAGTCGGTAGATATATATCCCAATAGTATCCCTGTTAAAAAGAGCTGCCATGAAGCTAGACAAGTAAGTGGACGCGTGTCAAATGAAACCCTACAGCATACCGTAATACTGTTAACGCTCATGGAGTTAAAGTTAATATCTAGCAAAACAATGTCCTTGGAAGATTAACGGCAGTAGAAGCAGGATAAGAGTGGTACTGAAGCTGGTAGTGCGGCTCCTCCAGCAGGTGGTACCGACTATAACGGTATAATTGATCTGCGATAAGGTAGGCGGGAAAGTTGAACAACTTCTCTAATGAGTAATGAGTTAGAGGAGGTTTTAAACTAGCTCGATAAACACCTGAACACACCAACAAACACAACTCTGGAGACACGTACCCGAGAAGGAGAAAGACAGAATGATGCTTCATGCCCACGTGCCAATCACTACTAAATAGGACGCGTGATGAGGCAATCGCGTGAGCGCGCAAATCATCACGTGATACTCCCTAATTATTGCATTGTAAACAGCCTCGGGGCCCAATTAATAGACCTGTCTTGTGGGAAAGGAATTAGGAATCAGAATTCAGAGCCCTGAAACCCAATCAGTAAATAGGAAGGGGGTTCAACAGGGCTTGCAACCTAATCACTGATTTAGTCTGTTGAGTGAATTGGGGTCAACAATACCTAATCAGGACCAATCTATTACCCGTCATTTAATAATGAGGACCTGACAGCTTACATGCGTGGTCAAAGTTAGAAATCAACCAGGATTGGTAAAATCAGCTGACAGCGTAGAAAAGATACTGATATGCTCTTAGTTACTCGCAGTAAATTAGGCCTTGAAGTGGGCTGTGACAAATAATACTTCTCACTTAGTGATATCGCAAGCTCGGGGTCAAAGAGCTTCCCAACGGTGCGATTCGTCAATATTAAACTAGCAAATTAACATGACTCAAAATGTGGGGCAGCCCCCCGGAAAATGGCAAATTAATACTTTATCGATTTCGATAAATTGCCTCTTATAGATTAGAGATACTTAATTATATAATTCAACTCAGACACTAACTTCACGTCATAGGCAGGCCAATTCACACCTCCACTCAACCAACCACAGCCTTGTAACTCAAAAAGAGTCCAATCAGAAGAACACACTCAAGTCACGTGGTTGATATGCGACTAAGAAGCACAAAGAATAAGATGTAGGCGAAGTGGACTGGCGGACGAGGTTCTGAAGTGAAAATTGGGAATCGTGGCCGTGAGACGCGCCATCCTAATGAATTGATAATACAAAATACTGGAAACCTGGGGGATATGGTGCTGCTAGATATATTAGCACCTGTAGGTTGATGAATTGTTGCTACTTATTATCTCTCAGGTGAGAATAACTCCGCAAGTTACAGCTCCTCGGACCTCCCAGTGACGTCTGGGGTCCGGGGCGCGGTCCCTAATGGACATTGGAAACGTCTATGTTACAGGTGCAGTTAGTTTCAAATCCTAATCGACCACTAATCGAGAAGATTAATGGGAGGCCAGACAAGCGAAACATGAAGCGATACTGCAAGATAAGTACGGTAAACATATCAGTAAACAGTTTATCAAGAGTAGACAAGATAATGCGAGCTAAGCGATGGATGAAGGTGTGGACCGTCACCACGGCTCCAACATTAAGAGATAGAAAGTAGCAAGATCAGGATAACCGCACTGATTTCCTAGAAGGCAGCTGAATTGTGCAGGCGACCAGGGACACGGAGTCCAGTTCGCACCATCTCTAATGACGAACTCCTGAGCTCTTGCTCCACCTAATTACTCTGGTCGTGCGACCGTGAGAACTTTTCCAGGACTCTCGCTGGCTAGCGTGAGCGGGTCAACTGACCAATAGCAGCGCAGTATTTGAAGAGAGGCGCGCGCGGAACAAGGTTAGAAGTGGTTTGCTGCTTATCAAGTGTGAAATGTCGGTGATAAAGACTAATGATAACAGGTGAGGAATGCCAAGAACTTGAAGGGCCCGGACAATAGCCGACAAGTGAGAGTGAGTTAAATTCTTTGGATGTTTTCATATCAGGAAGAAGTCCCACAAATAACTGCCCAGAAATTAACAACTTTAATTAATGATTTGAGCGATGACGATGTAAGTATATTTCAATTTCCAGGGCCAAATTAACATTTAATTGACTTTGAAGACATTAGCTAAGTAACCCTAATGTAACATAACAAAGCGAATTCTACTGAAACTTCCGTCTACAGCAGCTAACTCTGGGAATTATTAAACGAATACTGAAAGCACCTCTCAGTCTCAATCTTAATCTTATGAACATGACGGATTTCAGTTATTGCAGTCACAAATCATTCATACGTTATGTAACCTAACATTTGCGTCGTAAAGTATCGTGTTCTTACCGATACTCCTTTGGTTGAGCTGCCGACCCCTAGCTCTATCGTGACGTGAGGTCGTGAGTAATTGATTGTAACGGTATAATTGATCTGCGATAATGTGGGCGGGGAAGTTGAACAACTTCTTAACCCTAGCACTATCGTGACGTGTGACTCTGATCAAAGTTTTGATAATGAATAGAAGGCTGAACTTGATCGAAGAAAACATTAAATATACGCCAAGCCCAAATGAAACTTATATAATATATAGCCGTTCAACTTGTTCATCATTATACGTGAATCGTCGAGTGAGGAAAGTAGAAAAAAAAAAGAAGGTTCATTTATGTTTATCGGACATCAGCCCGTTTTAAAGAAATTGGTAACGATAGCTGAAAATTATCCTAACGGTCATTTTTCCAGTTGCCCGGCAACTAGAAAAACGACTGGTAGGAAACTCAGAATGTTTTCAGCGATGTTCACGCTATTATATATATATATGAATAGCAATATGGCAGATGCAATATGGCAGATACAATATAGATTTTGTCTTCAAATTGCACTTGCAGATAACAATCTAATTGTGGTCACCAAAATCCTCGGGAATCGAACAATTTTAATTTACGGAGATAACCTGCCTTATTTACCCACCATATACTGTTTACAATTGTTTAAAAACCCTCGATTTGACCAGACAGTTAGCATTCCTTTCACCGGCTCTTATTGGTCCCCCAGAGAAAGTTTTCTCTCAAACTCATGCCGGACTGCCATCACTTATCAGCTATTTACAGAAGCTAGGACCCATGACAGATTTTGAACCTTTTCCCTACTTCTGACCGCTTTAAAATGAACGGCACAAGCCTCACGAGCCAGCACACGACGTATTACCACCTCCCTTTATCTGAATTACCTTAATCAACATTAGGGCTCGGGGAGCGAGAATTTTGTAATTTTCTGGTAGCCTGGGAATTTCCTCTCCTTTGGCGGAATAACTTGATGAAGTAGAACGCCTAACCAGCACGGTCCCTCTCTCTCTAAAAACAACGCACCTGCAATCTCATTGGCCGTTAAATCGTGACGTCTCCAAAATAACAGCAGATAACTGGCCAGCCCAAGTCACGGGAACGGAACGCGCCAATGTGATTGGGCAGCCTTCCTGCTGTCTCAGTGCTCGGCATTACGGGCACTGTAACTTAATTTAGGAGAGATATGCAAGCGGGACCGTGGGAACTAGAGAGAGAAGGCTCTGGTCCTGCTACTCAGGAAGCTGTAAGGGAGGGGAGGTGGTACACACCGGCTACTGCTAGTTTGACAGACAAATACAGGACGCGGACAGGAGTAACAGCTGTGACAGATTACTCTTCGTTTGTTTGTTCTGCGGTGGGAAACTACCAAAACATGAGGGGACGGTGGTTGAGCTGGAGAGACGGTTTCTCAGGTTGTGTACCCTTTTATTAAACCTGACTTATGGATTAAACCTCAAAACTAATTATCTTTTTAGACCTAATGTGACTCCTGCTGATAAATTTAATCCAAAAACCACTACCAAATGGTGTTATTTTTATTTTAGGAATATTTCTGCCAGAGATATGCCATATTTTATGGCTTTTCGACACGTGGCTCTTCTTGTTTAACTTTAACTAATGAAGGTTCTAGAACCAACACCGAACTTCTGTGTAAACAATCCGCTCAGTATGACACCTTACATTGTCCGACATAAAACCGTTGACTCTTGATCGCTCACCGTTGATCCTAAACCACTTAGCTGAAACCGAACCTTCCCTAACCACGTTACCCGCTGGCCCTGTTATAACCAGCCAGCTCAGCACTGTCAGGGGACATGTGATATTGTTAGAGCACATGTCACGTGACATTGTTAGAGCACATGTCACGTGACATTGACCTCAATCTAGATAGCCCACGTGACCAATCAATCAAAACAGAGCTGTTCCCAGGTGGCTTCCAACGGTGGACTTGGAGAGGGAGTCTAATCTGTTTCTAATCAGCTGGCTTGGCGCCTGGATCACTGCTAACCATGGGAAAATGTGGAACACGCGTCTTGAGACCTGGTGGAAAGAAGCATGGTTACCAGGTTGTGGTTCATGGTTACCAGGTAACTGGTTGTGGCTCTGTTAAGTGACGTTACTGCACAGGAACTGGGTACCAGACGAGGGAGAATGGTGATGAGAAGGATTAATACCCACATTAAACCAACACTAAAACCCACATCAGGATTTAAAAGGTGCAACTTCTACTTGTTTAACGAGGC